CGGGCTCCCCCCCCCCCCCCCCTTGCAGGCCAAACAGGCTGCCGGCGTCGCGCCCGGCGGGGTCGGGCTGGGGGGCGATGGGCCTGAGGAAGCCGCGGTAGCCGCGCAGGACACAGGCCATGAAGCGCAGAAACGCCGCCCGCGCCTCCAGCTCCAGCTGCGCCCGCCGGCCCCGCGCGGCCTCCGCGTCACTCAGCACCAGCTCCAGGGAGGCCTCCTCCCCAGGGAGGCTGTACACTGGAAAAGGGGTTGGGGAGGGAGGGAAGGGACTGGATATCTGGGTTCTGGAGATCACCCATCCAACCGCCCCCTGCTGAGCTCAGCACCTCCCGATCCCGCGGGAACACGGGCAGGTGGGGTTGGAAGTGACCTCTGGAGATCATCCAGCCCAACCAGCCCCAGAGCAGGGGCACCCACAGCAGATCCCACAGGAACATGTTCAGAGGGTCTGGGATGTCACCAGAGAAGGAGACTCCACCAGGAACATGTTCAGAGGGGTTGGGATGTCACCAGAGAAGGAGACTCCACCAGGAACATGTTCAGAGGGTCTGGGATGTCTCCAGAGAAGGAGACTCCACCAGGAACATGTTCAGAGGGGTTGGGATGTCACCAGAGTTGACTCCACCACCTCCCTGGGCAGCCTGTCCCAGGATTCGTCGCCCCCAGACCACAGAAGTTTCTCCTCAAGCTCAGCCTGACCCTCCTGTGCTCCCACTTGTGCCCGTTGCCCCTTGTTCTGTCACTGAGAAGAGTCTGGTCCCCCCCTCCTGACACCCCCTGAAGACACTGAGCATTGAGGAGACCCCCCCTCAGCCTCCTCCTCTCCAGCTGAACAGCCCCAGCTCCCTCAGCCTTCCCTCATGGGGCAGATGCTCCATCCCCTCGGCATCTTGGTGGCCTTTAAGGTCATCTAGTCCAACCCTCCTACAACAGCAGGGACATCTCACACTAGAACAGATTCCTCAGAGCCCCATCAAGTGTGACCTTGGGATGGAGCCTCCACCACCTCCCTAGTCAGCCCCTCTCAGTGACCCACCACCCTCCTACTCAAGAACCCCCTCATGTCCAACCTAACCCCACCCATTTCCAGCTTCAAACCATCACCCCACATCCTGTGTCACACACCCCTGCAAACAGGGGTGAGCTAAGGAATTGGTGGGTCCCCCCTAGGGGGTTCTAAGGAATTGGTGGGGTCCCCCCTAAGGGGTTCTAAGGAATTGGTGGGGTCCCCCCTAGGGGGTTCTAAGGAATTGGTGGGGTCCCCCCTAGGGGGTTCTAAGGAATTGGTGAGGTCCCCCCTAAGGGGTTCTAAGGAATTGGTGGGGTCCCCCCTAGGGGGTTCTAAGGAATTGGTGAGGTCCCCCCTAAGGGGTTCTAAGGAATTGGTGGGGTCCCCCCTAGGGGGGGGGGTTCTAAGTGTCACACACCCCTGCCCCTAGGGGTTTCTAAGGGATTGGGGGGGTCCCCCCTAGGGGGTTCTAAGGAATTGGTGAGGTCCCCCCTAAGGGGTTCTAAGGAATTGGTGGGGTCCCCCCTAGGGGGTTCTAAGGAATTGGTGGGGTCTCCCCTAGGGGGCTCTAAGGAATTGGTGAGGTCCCCCCTAAGGGGTTCTAAGGAATTGGTGGGGTCCCCCCTAGGGGATTCTAAGGAATTAGTGGGATCCCCCCTAGGGGGTTCTAAGGACTTAGTGGGGTCCCCCCATACCCTCAGAAAACTCACTCTCATCCAGCTGCTGGGAGAGGTGGTGCAGGGAGGCCAGCAGGACCTTGCAGGGGCGGCGGGGCAGGGCACGGGGGGACAGCAACTTGCGCTCCTCGCTCCTTGGGGGGGTGGGACACAGAAATGGGGGGACAAAAAACAGGGTTGGCAAAGCCCCTCCCACCCCCCCACCCCTCAAAAACGCAGGGCGAGGCCAAAAAGACTCACTGGAAGATGGTGTTGGTGTCCAGGTCGACGAAGATGACGTCGCAGGGGGGCTCGTAGAGGTCGAAGTAGCTGGAGTGGATGCCTACAATGAAGGGCGCGGGGGCGCAGAGCACTCCAGCCAGCGCCAGCGGGCACAGCGGGATGTAGGGGCACTGCCAGCGCAGGGGGAAGATCATCTGGGGACAGGACAAGGGCTGTCAGAGCCTGGGGGAGGGTCCAGAGGGAACCCATCACCCTCCTCAAGCACCCAACCCTGTGTGTGTCCCCCCCACACTCACCGCCACCAGGGCTTCCCCCACGCTGGTCAGGACGTCGGGGCGCAGGGAGTGGATGAGCAGCTTCTGCTCGGTCAGCACGGCCACCAGCAGGGCCACGGCGTTGTCAGGGCCCAGGTTCTGCAGCAGGGTGAGGAAAATGGCACCACTGAAGGGGGGACAGGCAGGAGGGTGAGTCAGACACCCCCTGGCCCCCTCCTCGGTGTCCCTGTCCCCACCCCCAGCACCCCACCCTACCTGAGCGGCAGCGGGG